ATGGTTACCTCTTTTTTTCGGGAAAGTTAAGGGTTATCTCTTGTAAGGGTCACTCTCACCTTCTCAGTGGCTAACAAGTGATACACTGCCTATGTGTCACTTGTTGCAACATGAGAGTTTCTTTATTTTCATAGATTTGTTTTATTTAAAACACATTATCTCTTAAACCATGCATCTAAATCTCGAATCATTTTCACCGTTGAATTTTCCGCGTCAAAATTATTAAAACTAGATCCTATGTTAATAGGTTTTTGATGAAGTTTTTCTCCACGAAAAAATAGAAACCGGAAAAACAAGGGAAAAACAAAATAACAAAAAATTGATAATTTTTTAAAAAATGGAAAAAATGACAGAAAAAAGGAAAAGAAAGACTCGGAAGCATGATTGTGAGTTTTTATTTATTTTATCTCTTTTTGAGAAGCACATTTTTGTTTCCTAAGAAGCAGAGCGGAATCAAATCCGTGCCTCCATAAGAAGCAGATACGTGCTCCTCATGAAATCTCATATATTTTTTTCCTTTCCGAGAAACACAACCGTGCCTCTCGTGGTGGATAATTTGGGCCTTCACGTGAACAAATATGTGTTTCTGGTGGAAGCACATATTTTTCCGATTTTTGAGAAGGACATTTGTGCCTCCCATGAAAGCAAATTTATGCCTCTATGAGAAGCAAATTGCGCTTCTCATGAAAGTACAGATCCCCCCCCCTCTTATGAGAAGCATAGTTGTGTCTCTCTCGCGTAAGCAAATCTATGTCCTCACTAGAAGCAAATATGTGATTTTCATGGAAGCATATTTTTTCCTTTCCCGAGATGCATAGCTATGCCTCTCGCGGAAGTAATTTGTGGCTTCACGAGAAGCATAGATGCACAAAAACTCTCCTTCCTGAGACACACAACTATCCTTCCCTGGAAGTAAACCTGTGCTTATTGTGAAAACTCATATTTTTATTTTTCGAGAAGCACAACTTTATTTTTTGCGGCAACAGATTTCTGCTTCTCGTGGAAGCATA